CAGTCCATCTAATTTAAAGTAGCAGCTTTAAACACTTAACATAGCAGCTTTAAAGAGGACAAAATATCCACATTAGAAATAGAAGTAATAAGTTTCCTTATTTCTAAAATAAGGAAATAAGTTTCCCTATTTCTAAAAGTTCAAACAGGCTTTGTTACAGATCTATACTTTGAAATCAAGTCCCTGAAATATCCATTAAGCCTACTTACTTGGCTATTATTTGTCCACAGTATGCAGAGCTACTAGCCCCTACAAGAAAGATTTGCTTTTCCAAAGGTGGTTTGTGGGAGTGCAATTCTGTTTGATTTCTGGCCATTCATTTTGCAAAGCTAGTAATTATTTTCCATTGACACAAGGCTTTGTGGCATCTTCCAGTTATCTTGATAAGCAGGAGGCACCATGATGCCAATTTCATCCTTATTGAGAATCATCAGATGTTGGTAGCCAGATGTTATTCAGTAGGGTTCAGTGGGTTCTGTTGGGAATTGAACTCGCAGACCTTTGCACTTTAAATGACTATATATAGTGCATTAACTTTAGGAGCTATCTAGGTCCTAGTGCTCAGCAGTTGTAGGAAGGGATAACTAGAAGCTATCAGAATGGTATATAGAGTCCACCTTCCCTTAATATACAGAACTATCTAGGTCCTAGTGCTCAGCAGTTGTAGGAAGGGATATCTAGAAGCTATCAGAATGGTATATAGAGTCCACCTTCCCTTAATATACAGATGTTATATTGTGTCAAGCCCCCACATATAGGGTTTTACATGATTACCACACATACACTACCCAGGGGTGGAGTGGGATTCCAGCTCTCCTCTAGCTCTCTGCTTTCCTGACTGTTAGTTTGGGTCATCTCATCTCTTGCTCTCTCTTTTCAATAATAATGGCAGAGGTTTTTTGCAAAATATTCTGCAAAGAGCTATTTCTCTTTCTTCATTAGCCCTTTTATAATCTACCAGCTGGAGAACCAGCTGACTAGTTCTGTCAAAACTTAATCTATAACAAGAGAGTTGGTAGTCCTTTTCTATCACATAGTTGTAACTATGCCCCCTGATAACTGGAGGGGGCAAATGCTACTATAGAGCAACACCTTCATTGCTGGGTAAGCTTGCCAGCAAGTTAATTGGCCTGACATTTTATGTACAGCAGAGTTTAGTTATCTCAGTTCATCCCTCCACTCAAATCGTTTCAGATCATCTACTGCTATGCCCATACCTGGTGCTGAATGCCTTCTAGTTTTTCAAAGGCTTCCTGTTTTCTCCAGGAACTTCAGGCCTCTCAGGGCCTCCTTAAGAGTCAAAAAGATCATGTGAAGTCCTCCCACAGGTGCTGTGCTGACCATTAGCATCAAGAAGCATCATTGTTGGAAATCACGACTGGCTTTCTACCAGGTTTATATCCTCCACACAAGAAGATAGATGTCAAATTTATTGGACTGTTTCTTGGGGTGACACAGATTAATCATGTGGCCTTTTGCCTGCAGCTTCCAGCCACATTGAAAATATACCCAGCTTTCCACCTTTTCTTCCTGATCCTGGAACTGCATGCTTTGGCCTCTCTTCCACCCCTTATTTTGGAGTGGAGGAGGAAAGATTCAGGGTGGAGCATATTTTAGACTTGTAGCACATAAGGGACAACCTTGAAAATGTCATTCATTGGAAGGGCTATCAGGAAAAGGAAAATTCTTGAGAGATGGCAGATGACATACCTGCACCACCCCGACTTCCAATTTTCCTTCATGTCATAGTTATCTGTCTGGACATGCAGAAGATGTCTGCACATTTCATGGTGTTGACTGTTAGGGGGAGAGGACAGTTGCATGACTAACAAGATAGATATCTAGACTTTTTCATTTGAAGTTAGAAGGAGACTTCTGAAATGAAAAGAATACCCGATAAAGAAGAATTGGATATGATAAATAGAGATAATTTCCTTTTTCCAATGATCCCAGCCAGGAAGAGGGGAAAAACGGAGGGAATTCCTGATAGGGAAGGGAGATGGAAGGAGGGGGACAACTCTCCAGCTATTCATGAGCAGAAGAAGAGGGGAAAGAGTCTCCAATACTTGCAGACTTAGAGTCTTCCTCTCTAAGAGGAAAATAAAGAAGGTGATAGTGTAAGGGTTGAAGCTGGCTAGATGGGAATCAGCAGTTTCCAGATAAGATGGTCACCAGATCTCACAACCGTCTGATTTCAATGCTGTGAGAAGTGATTTACTGCAAAGCTGAGTTGTAAATCCTGATAGGTTGGCCTAAATCAGAGTGATTAGCCCAGGGTTTCTCAGTGAGTTTCCATGGTGGTATGTAGGTATCATGATAAACAAATGAAAGTATGAGATCCACAGACTTAATCTGTGTATATAACACCAGAAGACAGTATATGTAAGAAAGACAGGCAGAATAAAAAACAAAAGTTACTAACATCCCCAAAATAGAATCATACAATATAAGGCCTAGAGTAGACCCTGGAGATCATCTAGTCCAACATCCTGCCCAGCATAAGAATCAGTACTACAACATCCCTGGCAGATGCCCATCCAGTTTCTGTTTAAACACTTCTAGCAAAGGAGAGTCACAGCTTCCAAGACATTCTGTTCCACTGCTGAACAGCCCTTGCTATTAGGAAATGTGTCTGGATGTAATTTAAACTCATTATTCCTTGTCATATCTTCTGCAGCACCTGTGAATAATGCTGCCCTGTTTACTGCATGAAGGCCGTTCAGATATGCAAAGACAGCTATCATATTTCCTTTCAGTCTTCTCTTTGTGCTAAACATACCCAACACTATTCTCTTCATAAGTTTTTTTTTCCAGGTCTTTTCTCTAATCCTCTGACTTATTTTCTATGAATTCTCAGATCTCACAGGCCCTGAGATAATATCTGCAAGCCCCTTTGAGATTCAGATGTAATTTGTCTGGTCCCAGAGACAAACTTGTTCATGCTAGTTTGGTGTTCACCAGCTATTTCTTTACTTACTTTGGTTGCCACTCTTCTTACATTATTTGTTCTGCCTAGGTCCATTTGAACACAGTTCTCTTTTGGGGAGAAGACAGAAGCAAAATAGGATTTGAGATAGTCTGAGCTCTCCCCATCATCTGTTACTCTTCTGTGATCTTTAAGCAGTGGGCCCACCTCTTTTTGTTACTTTTAGTTTCCCTTGCAAGCCTAAATTCCTTTTGTGCTTTAGCCTTTTTAAAACTACCTTTCCACAGATATTAGCTACTTCCTAGTATGTCTCCTTAGTGATTATATCCATTTGCCATTTCATGTAAATGCCCCTTTTAACTCTTTGCTCAGTTATCAGAGCAAGCAAATATCTTGGAATCAAAATCTGAATAAAAAGGTCATGGAGACTGATAAAGGATTAAGTAACAGCAAGGTAGAAATTACTAAGAAAAGGCAAACTTGGGAAAAAATTGAGTTAGACAAAAAGAAGATAAAAGAAAATTTTAAAACAGTCACCAGAAGAAAGAATTTAGAAGTTTATGAAACCAAAGACCATTTGAGACTAATTTTACAGTTTATACACATTGCACCTATGTATAGACTCTGAACACACTAATTATGTGGAGATATATTTCCATTGATCGTGAGAGGAAACTCCAATTTGTCAGGCACCAAAATGCTTTTTCTTAGTTTGTTTCATAGTCCTGCCCTCTTCCTGGTTTCATAGTGATGAACAGCTGTACATTTGACAATACATAACTGGGTTTATCTTGCTTACATAAAAGTGATCTCCATTTATAAACAGTTGATTGAAAAGAGATTTCCAGTATATATAATTGGGGCAAATCTGGAATCTTGTGTCATTAGTTCCTGAAGATGAAAGAGAATTCATTTTGAAAAACCTGTACTTTGTGATGAACTAAAAGAGAGAATCTCAAACCAGACGGCTTGCCATGAACTTTTGAAATGACCACCAACTGCTTTAAAAAATAGATTTTAAATGGCGGTTACTGTATACAGTAGATTCACCTATCTAAATCAACCCATCTGGTATGTTCTTCCTGAGAGAGGCTTCTGGTTATATCCCACTTCTGTGAAGTAAGGGGAATGAAAGTCAGGAGGTGCTGTTTCTCTGACACTGCTTTGGCCATATAGAATAACCTCCCCTTTGGAATTAAGACTTACACCATCCCTCTTAACATTCCAGAAGTTGCCTAAGATAGAGCTCTTCTGTAGAGTGTTTGGTGGCTAGTTAATTGTTGCCATATTTTAATTTAATTTAATTTAGTTCTGTTTCATTTTTTCATATATTTTGGTTGTGTTATTTGTTTTTTCCATTATATTGTTTACAAATTTTGATTTTAATACTTGCTGTGGATGTTTTAATAGGTTGTATCTTTTTATTGGATTACTATAAACTGCTGTGAGTCTTTATTGATTAGGCAGTCTATATATTGAATGAAGAAATAAATAAATGGCCTAAGTTCTTTTAAAAACAACAGAATATGATTCTAATATGAGAGGTAAAACCTGGACAGAGGAGACAAGAAATAGGCTTCAGAACAACATATAGCTTTAAATTGCTTTGGATTTTTATTAATTAAATTTTGTACAAATTAATGTTTTAGACGTATGCCAGTGTACTTTTTCAAACTTTCTTTTATAGCATTTTATCTTCCAGTTCCTCTTCAAATCATTGATATACTGATAACAAACAGGGTTAAGTGATTTTCATCAGCTATTCATTAATCTGAATAAACAATAAATAAGTCTTGATAATTCCTATTTACAGTTTAAAGAATTATGTGTATTTTCCTATTATCTCGCTTATATTCACCTCCTGCCCCTTTTTAGGTTTGAACATGCCTAAGTGGCCCTATCTTTCATGCTTCAATGCCTGTTGTAGCAGAAATAATGCTTCATTAACAGTTTCTAGAATGAATTTTCCATTTCAAACATAAAATATATTTTCTATATTGATTTATTACTTGCATATTTTCTGTGAACTAATTTTAAAGCATTTAGTTATTTAATGTTCATTTATTTCTCCTAGCATTCTCCATCAGAGCCCTTCCTAGAAAAACCAGTGCCAGACATGTCTCAGGTTAGTGGACCGAATGCCCAGCTACTGAAAAGTGATGATTACCTTCCTTCAATTGAGCTGCAACCACAGCAGAAGAAAAAGAAGAAGAAAAACAATCATATTGTTGCAGAAGGTCCCAGTAAAGGATTTAGTAAGGAAGGCTTTCCTGGTGGGCCTGATAACCAGGATCCTACCAGAAAAGCCCTAGAATGTTCCCAGGAAGAAAAAAAGAAAAAGAAGAAACCTAAGGTGAAAAAGGACCCGAAGGATCTGAAAGAACCCAAGGAGAAGAAGGAGCCTAAGGAACCCAAGACTCCCAAAACCCCCAAGATCCCCAAAGAGCCAAAGGAGAAGAAAGCAAAACATACCACGCCAAAACCCAAGACCAGCAAAAAAGCAAGGTAAGGAAGGCATCTTATCTAAGTTCAATATTAAATATGTTTAAATTACTGGAAATGTTTTAGTATGGCGTATAGCCCATTTTTTAAATGGCTGTATATTGATTTAGAATTAACCTAGCACAGACTAGAATGTTTTTCTTTTGATGTTTTTCTGTTTCCAAAGGGTTATTAAATTATAGACCTATTTGGACACAGCTACAGGCAGAGAAACAAACCTTAATTTCAATAAGAATTGCTGGCTTTGAGAAGAGGAAGTTAATACAAGGACACTGACTTCACTAAGCCACCCATTCACTTTCTCTTAACCTGCTCTTAAGAACTGGTTATCCCAGTCTGTCATTATAGTATTTTGGGGGGGCAGGATAAACCTGTACTTTTGTATAGTGTTCATCTCATTTTCTGCTGTTGAAACTACATTGTAAGTATAATTGGAACCCTGAATAACCTCTTAAAAGACTTTAAATGTTTCATGAAATTGGATCTTATTTATCACAGTATTCTAATTTATCTTTATGGGATCACAAGATTCTTGGCTATCAGAGAGACAGAGAGAGAAGGAGGGAGGGGGGAGAGAGAGAAAGAGAGAATATATATGTCAGACATACAGATATACACATGATTTTTTTTTTTTTGGTGAATACTTTGATGCCACAATACAGAGAATGTCAGTTTTATATACATCTGATACACAGGGCATAAATACAATTGAATTACACTGTTGATAATGTGACTTTGCTTGGCTTGAAAAGAATTTTAAAAGAGCTTATCATTTCAGGGAAGCAGGTTTATTTCAGGAATATTCATATGTACCAAGATTGTTGCTACAGAGAAAACACTGGTTTTGTATTGCTAACCGATTTCTCATTTCATTACCAGTATCCTAGAATTACAGAACTTGGCATTTATTAATTGTTTTGTTTTTAATATTAGAGATATATTAAATAGGGCTCTTGGAAAATCTTTGCATGACATTTTTTTCAGGAACAATCAAACCTATTTTGGATACTTTTACAGAGGAAGCTTCATACTTGTTTCTTTTCTTTCCAACATCTGCCTCTTTAGCTGCATGACTATTTTATCATGTTAACACTATAATTTAAGGGTCTTTTGTTAATTTTATGTGTTCTCTGGTAGGGAACCCAACACATTTTTTTCTAGGAAAAACTTAGAACCTTAGAACCTACCAACATTCTCAATCACTGTATAGACAGGTTAAGCAAATTAAGTATGATATTAATTTTTTTTCTATACATTGCATGTTCACATTTTTGAGCTTGAAGTCATTCAACTGAGTTTAAATGCAGGCAATTTTTAAAGCGGTATAAAATCTGTAGAAAAAAACTGTGCCCTTATATATTAAGGGGTTTCAAGAAAGAAGAACTGTCCAGTAATAGTTGAATAAATAATACTGAATCAAGATTTTAAATGAATCAATAAGCTGAGTGATTAATCTGTCAAGCAACAGCTCTTGAAATCTTCAAAGATATATCATTTATCTTTCTGATCTATTGCTCTGATACAGGTAAGAAAAAGGTATGATAGTAATAAGAATATTATGATTGGTATACTCAGCAAAGAGTACATTGTGATTATAATATAATCATAGATATTATATAGTTACTCTATGTGTTTTGAATAGCAGATATACAGCAGTATCCTAGGTCTACCACTGATTTGCAAGGATACATCCTAAAAAGTAGCAGATAGCTTATATAGCTTTCTCTAGATACTTCTCAGTCCCCGGTGGCCATTTTGTTGGGTTATTGATCCTTTTGATTATATACTTTTACATTGGTCTTTATGTATCATGCCTGCCACTTTCCCCCCAGTTCAGGCCAATTTTAGCAAGGAACACTGTATACAGTAGCTGGTCAGGAAGTCTAAGTGCTCTCCCTATGTTGCAGGAAGGATAATCTAGGGCTCTACACCATAAAGAGGGGCCTAGTGTAACCATTACAGGAGGGAGGAATCATGTGTTCTTGATCTCAGTGGTAGTTGCTGTGTGTGTCATGAATTCTATGTGCCTGATTTTTAAGGTCCTTTTGCGCATATAAAACCTCTATAACTTGGCATACAGGTTATAAGTTGGGCATGGGAGCTGTATCATTAGTTATATATGCTTTATTTGTAAAGTGGTAATAAAAAGCCAACGTGGTATAGTGAGTAAGGTGTTAGACTAGAAGCTGGAAGACGAAGGTTCTTGAGATGGTGTTGAAAAATAGGTTTTGTATTACACTTAGAGATGATGTCAGGCCCAGCCCAAGAACAATGATGAGGCAGTCCAGTCCAGTATAGTTCCTTTATTAGCTTACACCCTAAAGACAGAATCTCGCCAGACTAAATGTATGCTAAAGCAAACGGGGTGGATATACCCCGTGAGACTCTAGGGAGGGGCTAGCCTAAGCCTCTTCTTCTTTTCACGGTCTTGCTGCGGGCTGAGAAAGTGCTTGCCTTGTACCCTCTCCTGGAATGTACTCCCTCCCTCCTGATAGCCTTGATCTTCCATTCCAGCATCCTCCTTGCACATGCCTTCCATTACAGCCCCCCTTCAAAGTCAGACTCCCCCTCCGAGCTCTCAGGGGAACTGAGTAGCGGTGGTAACGATGAAAGCGCAGGTATGCTGCTTCCCTCCGAGCTCCCTTGTTCCAGATCAATAGTGCAATCAGTCTCGATGGGCAGGTAGTGCAGTAGCCTCTTCCTCCCCAAAAACGTCTGCAAAATCAGCATACTTGGTGGGTAGTTCCCCTCCCTCTGTCTGGATGTTTACCCTGGGAGTGGAAAGAGTGACCATCTGTGCTTTGTAGTGCTGGCAGTCAGGAGAGGAGAATGAGAGTGTTCCTGCATTCCAGTCTGTTGTAGGGTTTTGAAGTCTGAGCCATGAGGTGCCTAACACTATGGGTACCTGTAAGGAGGCAGTTACATAAAGGGGCAAAAACTCTGTATGACTGTTGATAGTGAACTGCAGCAGAGTTGTGGACTGCACAATGGGACCTGCCTTCAGTGGTTGGGGATCTATGGTTTCTACCTCCATGGGCTTTTTAAAGTGTAGTGTCGGCAATTGCCATCTTTGCACTGCCTGAATATCTATGAAGTTTGTGGTAGCCCCTGAATCGATAAGAGCTTCTAGCTCTAACTTGTGACCAGAATCTAGGGTTATTGTAATAGGGTTAAGAAAAAATGCTTGCCTGTTGTCTTCAGAATGATCTCTCCTTATCTGCTTGATGGCCCCTCTTGCGAGCTCCGTTGAGAGGGGCCTGCGAAGTTTCCCTGGTCTGCTGCTGTGGCTGAAGCTGTGCGTTTAACAGAGGACTGCTCCAGATGTCTAGCTCCTGCTGTTACATTCCTTGCTGGGCATGCCCTTAGCATAGCCCAGGGGTTCCACAGTAAAAACAAAGGCTTAGATTCCTTCATCTCTGTCTTTCCTCCATGGAGACTGCTCTCTTGGCCGCTCCGATCTGCACTGGCTCTTCTTCCCCTGGATCTGAGGTTGCTGTAGGAGGAGGAGAGAGAGCTGCGAGAGGAGACTCATAGGTACCTTTGCTCCTGACAACCTGACTCTGTTTTAAGTCCTCCAGCCAGGCATCAGGTATCACGCAATGCTGATAAAGTTCATCCAGGGTATTCGGTGTTCCCTGTTTTATTAGCTCATCCCGAAGGCAGCTGTTCAACCCTTCTCGAAACTGGTCAATGAGAGCTACTTCATTCCACCCGACATCTCCCACCAACAGCTTAAAATCCACAACGTATAATCTTACTCTCCTGTTGCCTGTTTGAATTTCCAAATGTCCCAACTGGCTGTGACTCTCTGGATAGGATCTCCAAAATGCCCTTTAAAGGCCCCAACAAAATTCTGATAGTTGTTGAGCACCGGATCATTGGGTTCTATCATGGGGGTAGCCATTTTGCTGCCGATCCTTTCAGCAAGCTTAACACAAAGGATACCTTTGTAGGAACTCTGCAGGTCTGCTGTCCATGAATAACTCGCACTGTGCAAGGAAGGTTCTTAACTGGTCCACATCCCTTCCATATTTCTCCGGCATGCTTCCATGAGAGCGCAAGAGGATCAGTGATCCGGCTGCGGCCTGCTGGGCGTTCTGTCTGAGCTGCTGTGCTAGCTGCATCATTGTGGTCTGTAAATTATTGATCTGTGTGTCCACTTCTTGCTGATGCTGTAGTAAGGCTGCTGCTAGATGCTGCAGAGTAAATGGTGTTCCTTGAGGATCTGTATCCATGCTCAAAATTTCCTCCCTCTCGCTGGAAGTATGAGTCTGGCAAGATTGATGTCAGGCCCAGCCCAAGAACAATGATGAGGCAGTCCAGTTCAGTATAATTCCTTTATTAGCTTACAGCCTAAAGACAGAATCTCGCCAGACTACATGTATGCTAAAACAACTAGTGGATATACCCCTTGAGACTCTAGGGAGAGGCTAGCCTAAGCCTCTTTTTCTTCTTCTCATGGTCTTGCTGTGGGCTGAGAAAGCGCTTGCCTTGTACCCTCTCCTGGAATGTATTCTCTCCCTCCTGATAGCCTTGATCTTCCATTCCAGCATCCTCCTTGCACATGCTTTCCATTACAGATAAGCATATATCACATAAAAATACTAAATTAATTTTATTAGTAATGGCATCATGCTGCTTAGCAATTTTTAAGTTCCACAGTACATCAACTTTGTGGCAAAAACTTGTCTAATGTTTTAAATCCAGCTAATGCACCAAATTCCTTTAACTTTTCCATTATTATATCTATTCCTTCCAAAGGATTTTCCACTATTAAAAACCAAATCATTTGCAAATGCCCTTAATTTATATACCTCTTTTTTCACCTTCACCCCAGCTTACTTTCATCATTTCTTATATTTCTGTTAAGTACTTCCAAAGCCAAAATGAACAGCAGTGACAAAAGAGGGCATCCTTGTCTTGTCCCTTTCTGCATTTCACAGGATTTAGTCAATTCGCCATTAACTATAATTTGTGTTGTTTGTGAGGCATACATTGACTTT